GCCGAAGTGAACGTTTCAATGCCGGTTAGGCCTCGGCACAGTGTGTGGAACACGGTAACTAGGTGCATTCGAGGGCATAAATAATAATTCTCGACATTCTTCGCTTCGCGAACATTAAAAAATAATTATGTTTACAGTGTCGGTCGGTATTTGTAATAAATTACAAGTACGACGTTTGGATATAGAGAGAGCACTATGGCTCGCAATCCTGCCCATGTAGGTGTTGCCAACAGTCGAAGAGATCTTTCGCAACGTCGCATTTATCAAATAGTTCTGAATTGAATTACTCCACCGGATCGTGTTGCATATTCCGTTCGTATTTTTATATCGGAAGGCCGTCGTCTGTGCACTTAGTTAGAAATTGCGTTTATCGCTTTCAAATGTATTCGATTGGGTTAAACCCGTTTTAAAAATAGCAATTATTACTTTATTAAATCGTATATGAGTCAATTGTTTCACGTTATTTCTTGATGACGCTTATCAAGAAGTGTTATGAGCATTCGTACATTTTTATTTTTAACGGGTGACGACATCGCGGAGTCATTCAATTAATATACATCCCGTTAAAAATGTTACGCATTCCTTTAAAATTAAAAAGTCGATTTTTTAGAATTTTCAACAAAATTTTGATGATATTTGAAATGAACTTGTGGTGTATTTGATTGGTATTATCCATCGTAGTTGATGACAGGAAGCTAAAATCGTCCATCCCTAAAACTGAAATTATCCCCGAATATAAAAGACTTGTTCTACGTGACGTAAAAATCAATAATGTACAAAATCCGACCGCAAACAAAGCGTGAACTATAGTTATAATTAAAACTTGACAAGCAAACTTGCAAGAGTTTGTTTTAATTAATGTTGCCGAGATAGATTAGATTTTGATTCTCCCTCGATATTTAACGTTATCCGAAATGGAAAAAGATTGGGGAGGGGAAAACTATTAATCTGATTATCGGTAACATTGCGGATATGTCACTGTTAATATCTACCGCTCCAGCAGCAGCTTTTCCGCAAAAACCGGGTCAACGCACGGATAACAATTCGAGTGACCCCTTCGTATGAAAAACAAAAAATAACATCCACCTGTGTCAGTTTATATCAGGATATATTTCCGTATTAATACCAAGGCTTGGTATTCGGGCGAAGCCGGTTGTTTTCAGAGTGGTTCAATGGGATTATCGACCCAATGGCGTCGAATAATAAGGATGGTGGAACATCGCACGCGCGGTAGACCATTTGAAACGAATTTGATCGTTATGCCGCTGCGAATAAGGACTAAAGGTGGTTATTTGCGTTCGCGCGCGAGGTAAACAGGGTTTTCAAAGTTCCTTTTGTCGAGCCGGCATCAGTACGTCATACCATTTTGATGAGCGTTCAGTATTGAACGAGTTTGCATTACATGGTGAATTTCGGGCGACAAAAGCTGCGGTTGGGACCCGATACAAAATATGCCGAGGGATAAACACCATTGTTCGTTCAAACGCTTTAAAAGGATTATCAAAAATAATTAGTTTCATCTCGACAATCATCTTATTATTACTACTTTTACCTACTTCATTATAATAATAATAATAATAATTCACTTTATTGCCCAACAAAGATCAATTACAGGACAATATTACAAGAAAAAGAAAATAAGAAATAACACATGCCATAAAACAAATATAATTCACATAAACACTCTTACACTATTATTGATTGTTAGTTAGTTTACACATCCTCTGCACCGGGGAGTTGGCTAAAACATTGGATCTGCAATTCCTCAAATAAAACTGATTTGTACTACGTGTTATTGTTAACCACAATCCAATTCACCTTGCACTAACTTCTGCAAAAACTTGATGCACTGGTCATCTCTTCTTACGTCTAGTGCAGAAAAATTGTGACGTCGCAGCAGGGATGCGTAATCCATTCCACGATCCGTGTATGATCCGTCCAGGCGTAGAGACAAATATTTGAGAAATCTCCTCTGAATTCTCTCCAATATAAGTCTATGACACACATAATGTGGCGACCAAATTACAGAGCCATATTCCAATTTGGACAATACAAAGGTCTTGTACACACCGATATCAGAAAAAGCACACGAGGTGCGCAAAACGAAACCAAGCATCCTCGCTGCAGAAGATGCAATATTTTCGATGTGAGGTACAAAAGACAATTTGCGGTCAAAAGTTACTCCCAGGTCCTTGATTGTAGATAATTTCTCAAGAAGAACACCTTCTATATAATAAGAAGATGGAAGAGGAGACAGCTTGCGTGTAAAACTAACTGCACCGCACTTATTGGCATTAATCTTTAGCTGATAACGGTTACACCATTCCACCAAGACGTCCAAATCCGACTGAAGATTGACAACATCACGGTCCGCAAAAATAGGTCGGAATAGTTTCAGATCATCCGCATAAGCTAGTACGCTTGATGAAAATTTGTCTAGAAGGTCATTCAAGAAGATAACAAATAGTAGATTTGAGCCCTGAGGAACACCAGACCTAGCCGTAAACTCCATAGACGCATAACCGTTGTAGTACACATAGTTTATACGACCCGATAGGTAAGAGGCAAACAGTTTCATAAACTTAGGAGATAAGCCAAAAGCACTAAGTTTATACAAGAGGACGTCATGATGAATCATGTCAAATGCTTTAGAAAAATCAGTGTATACCACATCTACCTGATCGCCCCTATCCAAAGATTCACAAATTACCTCAGTAACCACCGCGAGGTTGGTAATGGTCGAACGACGCTTGATAAACCCATGCTGATATGGTGACACAAATGACTGAACCTGTGGATAAATCATTTTGTAAATAATCTGTTCAAATACCTTAGCGAAATTGGACAATAACGATAATCAGTAATGTTGGTACGTTCGCCATGCTTGAATACAGGAACAATGCGTGAGCGCTTCCAAAGTTTAGGAAACGAGCAAGTGCTTAAGGATAGGTTAATTATTAAATGAAGCGGAACTGCAAAAACTGCACAGCAATCACGAATGAAAAATGCAGGAAGATCATCATCACCAGCAGTAAATTTATTAGGTAACCTTTTTAGGAAATGAAGAACCTCTTCTTCGGTGACATCTGCAACAAATACGTAGAGTGTACATCAACCATGTTATAAGCAGAGACACCAGAATATACTCCAGAGAATTGATCTGCAAAAGCATTAACTATTTTTTCAGGATCAGTGTAGGTGGACTTATCACGCATCATTTTTCCAGGAAGTCGAGAGGTCGTTGTTTTCTGTCTTATATAATTCCAAAAGTTATAGGATTTATTAAAAAATTATAACATTTTTAAGTTGATCAGGTGATGTCATTAATTCTAAGTTTTTTAGCCGAGATCCCTTGCAATGTGCTGATCCGATCAGATCTGTTACGAGTTTCGCATTTTTCTTGATATTTATGCATCTGAGAGCAAAAGTAATTTGAGAGAAAAAAAATTGCTATAACTTTCAATCTATATGTTTGGGATTCACGTTGCAAGATTTAAATTTAAACTATATAAAAAACTTCTTACTTGCTTAATATCAATTTATTCGGAACCGGTTTCGAGCTTAGCTCATCATCAGCCGAATCTACGTAAAAAATTATATTATGAACAAATAAACATAATTAAAAATATAATGATGTTCCCTTCCATAAATAATTAAGATATCTGCTGTGACAGTTAAAATCAAACAAACTGTATATATTATTGCAAACATTACTTTAAAATAACATTATATTAAAAAAAAAAAAAAGTATGAAGTGAGATAACTTTTTGTTCGGAAATGCGTCATCTGAATTCGATTATATATAGAGCAAAGCGATAAAGATAGACAAATATCACATTGAACTGTGAACGTATAGTTGATACAATTCGATCGTGACGAGTGTTCCATTAACATATGGTCCCCCAATGCCGTTACCGTCCATAAAATAGATGTTACCTAAATCACATATCAAAATGCAACTGTCCCACCCTAATGCGAACTGAAATCGCACCCCACCCAATAGAGTTCCCCTCTAATCTATTGAATTAATCGGGTTGAATATATAGTTAATCGATAATTTTTACATTTCTCTCCCTTATCTAACCCTGGAGGGCGAAGAAGACTTTTCGAGGACTACTCGTTTTAAAAAATTAGCCGGAACGTTTTCGAGATGCTAATAAATTATTAATTACTTCGATAAATCATTGCTCAAAGTTTAAAACGGGCCCATTCCCGAACTCCTAATGGGTCGCTTTCAAAATAATCCCGCTGAGAAGGCTAAATATTTGCGGTCTCGGAGATCAATAGTGCTGTTTGTAGAGGATGCGTTATCTTCTGTAAACTAAAGCGATATGCACGGGGAAAACGTCGAGGGACATTTCGAACACGTATCTTCATTTTCGAATATTTTTAGACAACTATTTTTATATTCTCACAACCGGTTTCTTTCTCTCTATATCGTTCTTTTCTAATTATAAACCTTGTTAAATCTCTATAAAATTTTCTACATTTAAACCTGACTTAACCACTTGTAATTATTGGCGATAAACCAAAAACATTAACTATTTATAGTAATGACATAATAACTAAATAAAAATATTTTTTAAATCCTTAATATACAAATAATTATTTTAGGCATAATTGTTTTTATTTATATCAATTTCTATTCAACAAACTGATTCGGAAATTAAATTGGTGGGCGCTGATGGATTGCCAAATACGGTTCTGTCCATTTAAAGTAAATGCGTTAGAATAAAGTGGCTTTATCGAAAATTGTCGGAAACTTATCTTAACATAAGGTTGCGTTAGTTGGAATTTTAATCTTTAAGCGATACATTATCTCTTTACACAAACTTGGGATGACCTACAATAAGTAGACGTCATCATTACAAATATGCAACCAATATTACAGTATTGGTATTGCAATACATCCATATATATACTGCTGATATTGGTTGCATACGGGGACGATAATTAATTAACACATTGTACTCGACAATAATAAATTGAAAATTCCTTACCTTTGGCATTCAGTGTTCGACGGACTTCTTACAAAAAAATTTCATATTTTCTCCGTTGATTTCGGACAGCGAGATTACCTGTAAAGACAAAAAAAATGTGATGATGATTACAGAACAGTTTTCGTTGAGGATTTAATTAAAAGTCGTGGTAAAAAAAGATAAATGAAACGAAAGAACCGCAATCGTTTGTTCACGAGTTCATCCAACAATAAGAGTAATAAACCACGAAAGAAAATCGATAATCTTAATCAATGAAATCGCTAAATTATAACAATAATATTCCCTTAAAAGCTTTTCACTATGTAATTTCCTTTTTTCCTACATACAATATTTCAAGGGCGCATGCTTTTTTCATTACGTGGATTGGTCCCTGCCTTTGTTTCAATTGTACCACCCTCCTTTTTGTCCTCAAAGGGCTGCATTTTCTGTACATCTTGAGTCTCAGAAAAAAAATCCCTTTTTTTCCACATTAATCAATACATCAACCCTGAATACTATGGCTGGATTATTGATTGACGAGTTCGTAAATGTGACGTCACGATCATTTTTTCATCGACAGCGATATTATGTACGTATAAGGTCGTGCTAAACAAGTTAATAAAAGCATAGAACGCCCGAGACGTTAACGGAACATTAAGTAACCTTACGAAGCCGTACATAAGAAGCAATTTTGATATACCCAAGAAGTTTGTTGTTGTTTCATTGCGATAGATCATAATTAGTGGACGTTTCTATAGCATCATTTGATAACGCGACCACCAGAGGTGGTGTCGATGGCACCATAATTTAAATCAATTAACAAAATATTTTTTTATTGATAACGTTGCCCTTTCAATTCAATTTTAATTTATTCGATTATGTTGCGACTTCTTAAAGAACTGAGAAATACAATTTTACGGCAAGGTATGATTCCCGTACGATTTATCGGTTTTTGATTAGAGACGGAAAAATTGGTTGGTAAATTGTTTGGTTTATTCTCGAATGTCTTTCATGCACAAAAGAATGAAAGTAACTGAAACGTGGGAGCCAGCATTAAGAGAATTTTTTTTCTTGCGATACCAACATTAAGAATTGTTAGAAAAAGCTATTTCGGTGCGAGTTTTAATTGCCTTTTTGCTCAGAATCTCTCGAAAGTGGCCGACGGAGCTATTAACGTCAAAGACAATATCAAGGCTAAAGCCTTTGAATTGAAAGTGAAAATGTTGCGCCGTAGATAATAATAATCTATTAAACCTTTGCCCTTTGAATTTAGTCATAAAAGGTAAATCTTGGGTTAACTTTAAACAGAAAATCAGATGTAATATTAATTTGCGATTAAAACATGCTTGTCATGTTCAACATTTTACAGATATATTATCAACTGATCATGAATAATATTTTTTGGTTAAGCCGAGGTCGCTTGCGACCGAGGCCCTGGAGCATGTATTGTCCAACATTGCAAACATACCTTATCAATTGTACTGCCTCGGCCGCAAGTGACTTCGCATTAATTTAGAACGCAGAATAAGTGATCTCCCACTTAAGCCGAGGTCGCTTGCGGCCGAGGCTCTGTGGCATGTGATGTCCAACATTTTACAGATATATTTATTATCAACTGATCATGAATAATATGTTTTGGTTAAGCCGAGGTCGCTTGCGACCGAGGCCCTGGAGCATGTGTTGTCCAACATTGCAAACATATCTTATCAATTGTACTGCCTCGGCCGCAAACTACCTCGGATTAACTTCGAACTAAGAATAAATGATATCTTCCGCTTAAGCCGAGGTCGCTTGCGGCCGAGGCCCTGGAGCATGTGTCCAACATTGCAAACATATCCTATCAATAGTACTGCCTCGGCCGAGGTGAGAGACTTCACATTAACTTAGAACACAGATTAAATGATATCTCCCGCTTAAGCCGAGGTCGCTTGCGGCCGAGGCTCTGGAGCAAGACGTCGAAAATTAATAATTTTCCATGTTGTTAATAGTAACGCTCGGGATTCGGAGCATATTACAAATAATGTGATATATCATTCAACTTTCCTTCTATAACATTTTATCATATCTCCAACAATATCTGTTGTGACACCTAAAATTAAACAAACTGTATATATTACTTATTTAATCCAAGGCCAAAATTATATAAATCTAGATCTGGTCAGCATTTGCAGCCCCTCGGGCGCAAGCGACCTCGGATTAACTTAGACCAGAGAATAAACCATTTTTTAATACATAATGACCTTATTCGAAGTTCATGAATGACATTTTGTGGGTAACGATATGAGCAAATTAGACTACACCAAGTCGGTGTAGTACACATTGAGAGAGTTTGACGTGTTTGACAATACTTGTTGGTGTTGTGGTAGCTTTGGAAACTATATACCGATGCAATATAAAGCACAACCTGTTCTAAATAATGATTTATTCGATGACACGTAGAATTAAGTTTTAATTTAAAAATTGATTTTGATATAAAAATTGTTTTGACCTTAATAGAAATTTGACAATAGAAGTTTATTTATGGATCTATGCGTCAGTAAAATAGGATGCGTCGACGTGAATTTAAAGTCGATAATTACCGCCGTCGTCTTATTGAATATTTATATAGCGAGGGGAACAACGTGACGGAAATGAAGTTGGATGAATTAAAAAATCTATGGTCGATAAATTAAGAAAAATCCGAGGACAGGTGAAGAATCGTTTAGGAAGTTTTTTCGAATCTGAAGAGTTGAAAGAAAGTGATACCAGTTTTTTAAAATTTATTCAAATGGGGACGTTTTGACGTTTTATTGAATTCCACGGCCGTACGTACCGTAAGCGTAACGTCGTCTCTTTACGGCCTTAAATCAAATACCACTTAGTGACAGCGGGGACAAGTGGTTATCTAGAATTTTTGTTCCTTTTAATGGATATTTTAAGGTACTCGGTTATCTCAGTGTGGATTCCTTGTTAATGGACGGGTCCGGGACTTTACACACGGTAAGTTATACGCCCGAAAGCCAGCCAGTATTATAGATGTCGAACTCGGCCGGCAAATACGGATAACTACGTCAAATGTTTGCTTTTATTTTTAGATATTAATTTTTGTCGCGTAAAGTCAATATTGGTTTGAGGAAGGGGGCCCGGGCAAACTAGTTAATAAAATGAACGTCGGAGCTGCGCGGAAACTTCAAGGTAATTGCTTTAGCAAGTCTGGCAGGCAAATAGAAACTGATCGAATTTTAATCTCATTACGAATTACCATGGATACCTGCGAATCCCCCGCTCGTCGGCGGGGGCGAAAGATTCTTACGATCCGATTGGGAAACGTATGTTAATGGCCTCGGCGAGGCATCGATTTTTTATTTTAACCACTCTCGGACGACGAAACAACCGCCACCTCATCGTCCGCGGCCTCTCCGTGCGTAGTATAAATTAAATTTTAAATTTATCATGCCTCTAAATTAACTCACCCTGCTTCTGTCCAAAAGTTTTTAAACTAATTTTACATACGTGACCTTTCCCTGCATTTCAAAAGCACTTCACCTGAAAAGTTCACATTGTAAATAATCCCATTAAAAACCACAAACCATTTTTTTATTTATTTTTTTGTTTTTAAAACAATTCGCAAAAATACGAATATTACACACAAAATTCATCCCTTAAAAAATTTTTTTGAATTCAATACTTTTAAGTACACATAAGAAATTTTAATTTTGAAATGCAGTGAAGTTAATCGGTGTGGAAAACGGAGACCGAAGACGTTGGTAGCGTCGACGTGTTCAATTTTTCAGTTTCCTTCCAAGGAAACGTCGTCGTCGTCGTCGATGTCGTCGGAGAGCCAGGAAGCAGTGTAGAGATCGATAGATGCAATTTGGAGATGATATTGTCGCAGACACGAGCTCGCGCTTGGAGGCAAAAACGGCGTCGGCAAATGTTTGCAGTTAAAATGAAAACGGTTCCGCATTTAGGGGTTGGAGCGCGCCGTGTGTTTTATTTGCTTTTATCCGGAATGCAAATACTACAGGATGAATATATAATTAGTAATTTGCGGTTGGACGTTGAGCACGTTGCAAATGTCAAACAATGGACAAAAGCGAATGGTCAAACATTGAGTTGGGGGTGGTAGTTTTTGAAAGCAACGAGTGCGATTTTTCCCTTCGGGCGATTCCCGTTGGTGTAGGGGTGGGTGGCAATAAAATCGAGTAGATGGCTCCCTGAAACTCCTTGTTCAAGTCAGATAAAGGGAATTTATATTTTGTTTACTACCGCTCGACTATATCCAAGTGACTGCGACTAATTCAAACTTTTGGATGTTTATCTAGAAACTTTTCTGCATTCGCATGGCCAATTAGGCTGACACAGAAATGTCATTCCCTCCACTACTACGCTTCTATTCCATCGTTCCGAAAATGAAATATTCAAAAGTCAGGGGGAAAAAATCCTCTTTGAGATTTCGAGCAGCTCCCGTTGTCCGCGCGGTTTAGTTCGCTTTGCCACCATCAAAATGGAAATGAGTTTATTACGGACCGGACAAGTTTACACTCGCTCCCTGTTTAAAATGAACAACGTCAAGGTCCCGCCCTGGATGATATGCAAATTCTCTTCACCCTTTATCCTGACCAACTTCACGGCTCGCGCGGATTTTTTTTTTACATCCTCCTGGCGAATCTATACAGCACCCTCGTCCGAACCCCCGACCAAGTTTCGCCCAATTTGCGAACTTGCAAACTTCTGGGTATCATGCTGAGCGAAATCTAGCGGTCAGCCATCTTGTTTAACCAAATCGAGTCATGATCCCACAAATCTTACAACTTTGAAATTTTAACAAAAAGAAACTTCTTCAAAAAAATTAGTAAATCTTATAATTTGGTATAACCTAACCTCAAAAAGTTTCATTTCTAACTGTTTTGCAAAAAACAATTTTTTTCATTAATCTCACTTTCAACAAAAGCGAAATTAAAAGTTGGCCAACTTGGAAACCTATAACTTGGTACAACCTAACCTCAAAAAGTATCATTAATTAAGTATCATAAATTCAAGCAATTTCACTTTGGGTATATAAAATGAAGTTTGGCTTATTCTTCTTAAAAAATTAATTAAATTAATGTTTTTAGATG